AATTTCACATGGACCACAACATATTTAGATTAGAGCAAAATCGGAGATGGTGACTTCCAAAAGTGATCGATATAGCGTGGAATGACCCTAAGGTTAAAAATTCTTTGTTATTGGCACATCGTTCGAGTCAATATTAGATACGAATCTAATACACTGGTGGCCAAAATTAACGCACCACTTTCTTTACACCGTCGTCATTTCCACTGTGTAGGAGGTAGGACTTTAAAATTTTGAGGATAGGTGGGCCCATGGGTTGTCTCAATACTCCACGAGTGCCATTGCTACCTGCCACCCCTTCCGGGATCGGCGACCCCTTGAATACTACAGGGTCAAGAAAGTGACAAAAAAGGTTCTAAATTCGACCGAAAAAAAGAAAAAATCCAAAATTTTTGTCAAGGATGAGGCTCTTTATGTTACGGCCTTTCCGAAAATGCCCAGATCAACCCCCTCCAACACCCCCAACCCCCTCCATAATTTTCTACCCTTTCCAAAAGGGTGGTTATTTCGATTTCGCTGAAACTTTTGCCGGAGCTTCGTCTCGATCCCTGTTACACGTGGTAAAATTTTGGTCGCATTTGCACCAACCCCTTGGACGCTACGCGCTGTCAAAGAACAACCCCTTACTGTTTTTTCATCTTTTCCACAGTTAAAAACCAATTTTGGACCTGCAATTCACGGAAAAACTTGTTTTCGTCACGACAGTATCGTGTTTGTTGATGGTTGGGCCCTAGCGTGAAACCAACCCCCGTTGTGGAGGTTGGTACCCCCAACCCTTTCAATCCGGCCCCGGGGGTGGGTGCGTAAATTGAGTGCATGCTATCGATTGAGGGACCATTGAAGCATTTCTGTACAAATTTTCAAGTCGATTGCTTGAACCGTTTTCGCGGGATAAACAAAAAAGTGGAAATTTTGCGATTTACAACCCCCAAGTTCACCTCACAATCCCTACTGATTGGAGGGGGTTGGCGTGCCGCGGATCGGCTTCTCATGAAGCTTGAACCCTCCTTTTCTCGGTCCCAGAAGATGGAATTGCTCACACGACATGCACAGCCACCAGCGATGCCGCCAAAATACCCTGTCATCGTCGTGTCTGCCAAAGCGAGCACCGCGGCCTCCAAGCGGCGAGTATGTGAACCAAAAGCGATCCGAACGATATGGACTTTCAGCCACCCAAAAAGACTCAACGAAAAATTAATTAAAATTAATTAATTAAATTAATTAATTAATTAATTAATTTTATTGTTCATTAATTCTATTGTTCATTAATTTTGTTGTTCATTAATTTTATTGTTCATTAATTTTATTGTTCATTAATTCTATTGTTCATTAATTTTATTGTTTATACATTGTATTGTTTTTATTTTATTAAAATTTAATTTTTTCTCGCCATTTTTGATTTCATTTTTTTCCTGCGTTGAGAATTGCCAATTTTTTTGTTACAATTTTGCTTTTGGCGTTTGCTTTGAAAAAGAAATCAGTAAGACTGCTGGAAATGTGAAAGAAACGAGTTTAAAAACAAAAACTCAGGGTTTAAGTTTTACTATGAAAAACTACCACTTGGTAGAAAAAATGCGGAAATCGAAAATTTTTATAGATGTTTGTTTAAAGATGTTTAATGAAATAACGGAAACCAAATAGCAAATGCGGACTTGTCTTTACAGCAATCGTCAATTTTGTCTAAAGTATCCAAAAGTTAAAAAATTTCACAATTTGAAAGTTGAAAAAATTCCAAAACTTTGAAATTTTAAAGTTACACTTTAAAAAACAGTGATTTTTATAGTGGAAAATCAAATTCCACTTTTTAAAAATTTTTAATCTTGATGATTTTAATATTATGTAATATTTTGTATAATCACAAGTGTTGCGTGGTTTCAAAGAAGTTAAGTGCAATTAATGTAGGAATTATAGCAAATAAAAGACCACTCGGTATGCATACTTCGAGTTACGATCATACGAACGCATGCGCATTACTGTTGGTTAAGAAGCGAATTAGCAATTGTAACTAGTTTCAGTCAACATGCGCGAGACGAACGAAAAATGTTTGACACCATTCTTTCGTGGAATCGACAATAATAAAGTATAATATAGTACAATGGCACAAAGTAAAGTAAAATAGTATAGTGTATAGAATATGGTATAATTGTGTTAAAACCTACATCAATTGTTGTGTGATAAAATGAATTCTCGAGGTAAACCAAGCACAAGTAGTGTGCATACAAATAAACGAAAATATACAAGTTTGACGATTCAACGAAAATTGGAAGCACTGAAGAAGATAGATGCAGGTGTATCCACAAGCAAAATAGCACTGGAACATAATGTTAATGAAAGTACAGTGCGAAGGTGGATTCACAAACGAAATAAATTGGAAACATACAGTCAACCATCCACAACTAAACGCATACGCGTGTCTCCAATGGAAAAAGTGAATGAAGCTTTAACAATTTGGTTTAATGCTGAAAGAAGGAAAAACAATCCAATCAGTGTTATACAAATAAAAGGTACACTTTGATATTTGAAATTTGAAGTGCAAATAAAAATTAGATAAAACGGAGATCTTGGTAAATACCCGGTTTAGGAAGTTTGGAGGCAGACACTTTCAGGAAAAGAAAATTTATTGTACAGCCAATGACATGTGATGTTTGTTTGTTTACTTCCTTGCTGTAATCACACATACGGTGGCCCACGAATTTTAGTCGCTTTCATTCATCTCCATTGTTATTGAGGTGTAGTAAAAGTTTTTTTTAGAAAAGTTGCATAGTGTCAAGGAGTACCAATAATAATTTTTTTTGTAGGTGGGGGATTTTCGAAAAGTACGAAATAAAGTCCTTATTTTTAAATGGAACCGAAATAATAGTGGACTGAAAATATATTATAAACATTCTTAATAATAAAGTATTACAGAATAATGTTAGAAAATTGTTATAACATTTAAACACCTTTAACAATTGTTGTTTAAATTTATGTATTATATTTATGTATTTTGTTCTTATTTATATTTTATATAAACAATCTGCAATATTTCTTGAATTGCTGATTTGTTTGTCTTTTGACTGTAATGTCTTTTAATATGTATACGTAGAATGTTCTGTTGAATCAACTTATGTAAGATGTAATAAAGTTTTATTGGAAAAAAGAAACAAAACTGATTTTGAAATCTTACTCAAAATTTTATTGCTATATTGTGGCTCCTTTGATACCATGTAACTTTTATAAATTAAAGGTATTACATGTATAGTTAAAAATAATGAAAATGATTAGACGGTCAGAGTTAGTAATTCAACGATATTGTTTTAATTTTTGTTTATTTAAGGGGGTATTCCAGTATGATGCGACTATTTTTAGCGGTTAGTCAAGAATTTTTTTCAATAACTGATTAACACATTTCAGTCCTGAAACTTTTCTCATTTATTTGTCTATGTTTAGGTATATAAAAAATAATTTTTTCAAAGTGAAGTTATGTACAGTTAGATGGCTGAGATCTTCTACAATGTTAGCCCCTAGAGAAAAGCTACCCACGTAGTCACCATGTTTACTGCCCTCCAATTGGTCTGCAGTTACAAAATCGAAAGGATTGTTAAAATATATGAATATGGCTATCGCCCCTACCTCAGGTTTAAATAGATATTTACAGCTTTCAAAGTGGTGCAAATTTTAATATTGAATGTGTTATTTTGGCACATTTTTTCGTGACTTTCTATGCTGAAAAGTTTAAACAAACTAATATTTACGTATACCTGTGGTAGGGACAACATCCACGCATCTGCTAAACATGTATGTATAAGCTGAACCCTATTGGTCAAATCATTTTTGAAAAATCATGGTGAATAGTTGGGTAGCTTTTCTCAAGGGGCAAACATTGTAGAAGATCTCAGCCGTCTAACTGTACATAACTTCACTTCAAAAAAAGTATTTTTTATATACCTAAACATAGACAAATAAACGAGAAAAGTTTCAGGACTGAAATGTGTTAATCAGTTATTGAAAAAAATTCTTGACTAACCGCTAAAAATAGTCGCGTCATACTGGAATATCCTCTTAAAGTAGTTATTGCTCTGAATTAAATTATGCTGTACAAATTGGCTTAGCACTTAATTTGCTTAAAAATGTTACATTTATATTTTATCAAATACTTTCCTTACCATGCTGTTTCCATTTCCTTGTTCTTAACCGTGAGCCCCTTCCTGTCATCAGTCATAGTCCATTCAAGTACCCATAAATTTCCACTTCCCAAAATCCACTTTCTTTCAATATTTTATCCAATCCCTGTTCTTTTCCTCCACCCTCGTTAAATAACTTCCACCAATAAGAATTTTATTAGAAGGTTTCTTTTTCAAGATTCTTCACCCGTTTCACTTAGATTTCCATTGTAACTCAACCATGCTGGTTTATTTACTCGTTGCTTAGCTAGTGTAAGATCATTTGTAAGAAAATAAATTAACTATTTAAAGTTAAACCCAATTAATCTGATACCAGTTTTCCAACAATATATTATAAAATATATTAATTGTTAGTTGTTACACATAGTAAGTTAGTTAGTTAGTTGTTACATATTGCATCTTTATAGTAATAGTATTGACACAAAAAATTTGTTTTCCAGGATAAACGGAAAACTGTTTTCAAGTATAATTAAATTAATGTCAAATACACAAATCTGTAGTGTAGAATGATTTATACATGTATGTTGGTTTACTTCTGTGTTTTTATTATTATCATTTTTAAAATTTGATGCATTTATAGACCACAGAATTGTGCTACATGAATCAAGAAGAGTGAAGATTAAACAAGAAAATTACAAGAGATATATAATTAAGATTTCTATAACTAATCAAAGAATGTTTCTATGACATTTTCATACTGTTTACTCGAATATCATATTTTTTTATTTGTATTGCTTTTATTACAAGCATGCAATACATATAATGTGGAAAGTATTCATACAGCGACTAATTTCAAATAAAACTTTATGTGTAAATGTCATTCATAAATTTGAAGTAAAAAAAAATTATTAATAAATCTTCTTGCATATTGTAAAAAAGATTTTGTAAAAACTAAATTTCATTTTCTTCAAGATTAACAAAAATATACAACAAATATAGATAAATGTAAGAAATAGATGCACAGGAAGCATTCGTACAGTTATGAATAATGAAAAATGAACTATAAAAGTATGTTTTTTATATATATTTTTTATACATACTTTAATAATTTGTAGGATTGCCCTTGGATTTTACAATAGCTTTGAGCTTTCTTGGCATGGAATTTACTAAATTAGATGTTACAATTGGTTTTATCTTATTCCACTCTTCTAATAAAATGATTTTTAAACTTTCTTTCTATGAAATACTATGATAACATATTAATACAAACACAGTACTAGATAATACATCTATTCCACTGTTTTTAAGTTTTGTTGCAATTTGTTTGGTAGTTATACATGGATTCTGTTTCACTTTACGAATAATTATTTCTTAATCATGCAGGTTCATCTTACGTGGACGGCCCCTTCTTTTTTTGTTTGAAACAGTTTTTCATTCTTTCTAATCCATCAATTATACTTTGAATAACAGACCTTGCTCTATTCATTATAGAAGAAATTTTATTAACAAGGGGCATGACTAAGGTGTCATATGCGGTTTTTAATGAAATTTACATACGTGGTAGCTTTTTGAAAATTGACACGTTTTTTTTATATCTGCTTTCATGTCTGCTGACATTCACGTTGAAGAGGTGAAAATAGCCCTTAAAGTCGGGGGTTGAAAACACGTTATATTAAATATCGCGGAAACTAGAGGGTGCATTTTTTAAATTGTGAAGAAATTATTTATTTAAATAATATATTAAAAAATTGGAGTTTTTAGTTAATTTTTTGTGCTAAATGCAGTTCGATTTTTATGTAGATTTATGTATGTAAAATATGGATCAAAATAGGGATACGTGTTTTTTAAATTTTTTGCTTATTGCAATTTAGAAATAATTATTACATATACAATTTTGTCCTTTACAGAACAAAGTATTGACATCTATTTTCGAAGAGGGTAAGCCCTTTTTATGCGATCATTTGCTACTTTGTTAACCATTGTATAACGTTACACGCCGTTTGTTGTCATATTCTTTGAAACTTCCCTTTTAAAATGAGCCCTTCGGAACGATGGTTACTTGAAAACTGGCGTCACTACAAGCTGGAAAAAACGCGGGGTACCTACGGATCATTCCACGCCAAATCGATCACTTTTGGAAGTCACCATTTCCGATTTTGCTCTAATCGAAATATGTTGTAGTCCATGTGAAATTAGGGGGGGGTTAAGTCATCC